ACAACGAGCCGAGGTGATGCGTGTCGCTCGCTAAACTCAATATTTTATATGTCGGGAAAGCGCGTAAAACGTGTGTAATTAAACTGTTTTCAATTATTAAGCAACTAATAAGCTTTAAATTTAAGCTAAATACAAACACTATTTAAATGAATAATTCTATTTGCGAGTAACTAACTAAAGTTTAAATTTAAACTAAACAAACACTATTTTAATCCATTCAATAAAATTAGAGTGCATTGTCTAAGTAATTAATCCAACAAAAAACTGAAAATGGTTGAGCGGCTACTAAACACCAGTCCAAATCCGGCCGAAGGTCCAGAAAATGGTGGAGCGACGAGCCTAAGGTTACCGAATTTCTAATTCCCCCGGTCGAGCCTTAAGCCTATTACTCGAGATGTTAAACCAAAATGAACTGTATACGCGAATTGCTTCTTCCTTCTACACAAAATGGCGACTATAGCACGCGGTTTCAATAATAAAACGAACTATTGCTTGCCAAAACCTATGAAGGAACCCTGCTTGATTAGGAGAAAATGAAATTGGAGCGGATTAACTAACAAACAAAATTTTATCAAGCAGGCATGAGTATTAATTAAAGTGGGGTTCACTCACCGGGTTGTCGTTTCCATGTGGCTTGGGCGCCTTGTTGCTGCGGTGCGACTTTTGGTGGATTCTCTGGTGCCCCAGAGATGCGTTCCTGTCCGGTGATGCGATGGAAGAGAGAGCGCGCGGCTATTTCTCACACGAGGTGAAGCGGTTTCTCCCGGAGCTCGACTGCTCCGGGCTAATGCGGTTGAACTAGCGGTGCGCGTGGGCAAGAGCTTTTTTAGGACACTACTGTCCTAGGCGGTGTGGTTCCAACGAAGAGCGCAACGGGAAGAGGCGCACGTAGGCCACGCGCGCCTTTTATTCCTCCGGTTGCGATGGTCGCGTGACATTCTAGAACTATCTTCTTTACCCTCCTACCCCACCACCCCGATGTGTCGATAGGACGGTAGGTTTTTGGAAAGGGACAAAGGATTTGGCAAGTCTACCTTCTAATAAAATAAATACGAATGGTTTTCCGCGCAACCAATATATAACGGAAACGTTCACTTTCTACCTTCACATACATGTCTACCAAAAATTGATGAAATAATTTTCTACACCGGGCTAAGAGTTTAAAATCATTTTCTCGCAACATCATAAGATACGTATAAAAATCCATACATGATACTTTTTGTTCGGAGTAGGCTTCTTTGTGACCGGGTTAATGAGTGGAATTTGAAAATGATAACCCTCATTTTCAAATTCCACTCATTATACTAAATGGGTATTGCAGAACGTTATAAAACTTGTGTGTATCGGCTACCCGTTGCAACGTATCTTCACGTACTCGCAAGATAATGTCTCGTGAAGAAAATTGATCACCACTAATTACGGCTGCTATTTCGTTTATCAAAGGTGCATTGTAGCGCCTTTCATGCTCTCCTCGAGGGGTCCGATCTGCGTGAATGACGACTTTATAATCCTCTTCAGGTAGGTTTTCTAAAGCAGTTTTAAATGTTTTGACTAAAATGTTACGTTCATGCAAGAATCTTTGAATTTTAAACACTGTGTCTCTCTCAACTCCCTGGATAAATTGGCAGCGACGGTCTACCTCAATTTCTTCGTCACCCATAAAATATACTTGTAAAAATTTATGCTTTTCGTTTTCAGCTGGAAAATGTGAACCTATTCTATGATAAATTTGCCCTTATATATACTATACTTGTAAAAATTTATGCTTTTCGTTTTCAGCTGGAAAAAGTGAACCTATTCTATGATAAATTTACCCTTGTACAGCAAATGTAGATGAAAATCCCGGCAATATTATTTACCTGTCAACTCCAAAGGACGTCATTTGAAAGTATGAGTTATATTTCCGGATCCTGTTCAAAAAGCGCCGTGACTCATTAGCATCATATAAAGAGAGAGTTTTCAAAGGTTCTTCTGGGTCCCCAAGTAACGGAAGAGACACTTTGCCATTGGAACAGCACATGCCTGCGGTCTCATCTTTCCATTTTAAAGCGCTGCAAAATCGACACGCCTTGTCCATCAGCCCGATAACAACTAACCTGTGATTTTTATAATAAATCAACGGATCATAATTGAATGCTGCGTCATTAAAAACCGACCAATTGTTTCCTTGAAAATTTTGTCGACGTTCAGCTTGGAGCTGTGCATTTGCATCTCTTCGCGCCTGTGTCTCTTCTGGTTTCAGATGCCCTTACAGTAGATTGACGTTCAGCTTGCTCAATGAGTATGTATTGAGTTTCATCAGGTGTTTCCGCAGCTCTTAAGGCGGTCTTACGTTCCGCTTATTCAAATAGCCTTTGCTGACTTTGAGCAGGTGTTTCAGTAGCTCTTAAAGTAGATTGACGCTCTGCCTGTTCAAGACGCCTTTGCTGACTTTGATCAGGTGTTTCAGTAGCTCTTAAAGTAGCATGACACTCTGCCTGTTCAAGACGCTTTCGCTGACTTTGAAAAGGTGTTTCAGAAGCTCTTAAAAATAGCTTGACGCTCTGCCTGTTCAAGACGCCTTTCCTGATTTTGAGAAGGTGTTTCGGAAACTCTTAAAGCAGCCTGACGCTCTGTCTGTTCAAGACGCCTTTGCTGACGTTGAGAAGGTGTCTCAGATGCTCTGAAAGCAGCCTGATGCTCTGTTTGTTCTTGCCTCCTCAGTTCAGCATCTTCTAAAGATTCTAGCGATCGAGCTAAAATTTTCGCTTGTCTTTGAGAAGATACTCTTGAAAGGCTGGACTTACATTTGCGAGGCATTATGAAGTAACAAAAAAAACCTATTTATAAAAAAAACGCTAAAATACTTAAAAGGAATTAAATTTCCTTTTAAATATTTTTTTAAAAGCAAATCCAAAATATCTAAAGGGAATAAATATTTCTTTTAAATATTTTTTAAAATCAAAACAACAAAACCAATTCAAGACATAACACGAATCCGAAAACGATAGTCAAAAAAAAATCGAATCAACTTAAACCAAATCACAAAACAAATCGCAGAAAACCGAAATCGAAAGCAGTAGTCAATATAAATATAATAAACAACGAAAAAAGAAGTAAGTGTATAGGTACCGTATACACTATCTATACTATTAATATTCCTTTTAAATATTGTTAAACAACCTAAAATAACGAAAACCAATTCACGATTCTAAATAAACAAAATCCAAAATCAAAGCCAGAGTTTAAATATGTATAAAGGAATACCAACCAAATCAACAAAACCGATCCAAGAAAATACACAAATCCGAAAATGAAAGCCAATATAAATCCATTCAACCTTAACCAAATCACAAAGCAAATAACAAACAACCGTAATCGAAAGCAGGTAGTCGAATAAGCTACGAAATAGAAACTATTTAAGCGTATAGGTACCGTATGCACTATAAGTTGACGCGCGGCTCAAGGACGGGAGTTAAGTACATGTCAGGAAACATTTCGTTACCGCGTTTTAAAAACCTAGAAACGACATCTAGCGTAATAAATTTAAACTATGTATAGGTTAGCAAGAACTCTCAAAAATATTTTTCTTATAATTTTGCACATTTTTTCTTATTGTAATACCGATTCATTCATAACCACATATAAGAACTGTATTCATTTCCGTTCAATAAATATTACTTATTAATAAGGCTTACTAAGAACTGTTTCTACCACAGTAAAGTAATAGTTAAGGGTGAAAGCGTGACACGTGGTGATAGTATTTCTGATTCATTCTTATAATCACGCCTGTAACCCTTGCGGGGTAGGCAGAGCATCAACGGATTACTTAATATCGTCTGCGAGGTTATCGCCTATTCTGTGAATTACAATGCACCAAAACGTTTGAAGAAAATAAGCTGGTGAATTTTATTTTTTTTTATTGCTCTCTTCCCGGTCCTGCGTGGGAAAATACAGATCCATACATTTTTTATCTTAATTTTGGTAAAAAGTCATAATAATCCAGATATTCGTTGACAGTCGTGAGCGTTTGTACTGAGCGAACGTGTCTCCTGTCGTTCTAATTTTATCTGAAGTGACAACAATCAAAAGTAAATCTTTAAGTAATCAACGTAAAGATGATAACCTTGTGCATTCATTAAGGAACTTAAGCCTGTTATTATTTGTGTGAACAGTTTAGCAGTGTTTCTCAGTCAGTGAATCCCCACACCTCACCCCCTCGAGTAAAGGGCACGGGCTCTTAAATTTTTGGTCTCACTTTACGCTCGACATAACTGCATCACAGGTCTAATAATACTGGTTTGCGATACATAATGAACCCGCAAAAATCTCCGCCTGCGACCAAAGTTGGTCTTGTTAGTTCCCAGCCCGATAGTGCAAAATGAGATACCGAGGTTACACAGCAACGTAATATTACCATCCAAAGATCAAAAAGAAAACAACCAGAAGAAGCAATGAAATTCGAATTAAATGATTTTAGGAAAGAGATAATGTCCTTTCTTACTGAATTCAAAACTTCGCAAGAGGAGAATATTAAAAAAAATACATGATGAAGTATCGTCATTAAAGGAACAACTAAGTAATCTAAAACAAATTTCAGATATTCTTTCTCAGGATCAAGTAACTATTAAGGATACTTTAACTTCTATACACTCAGCTCAACAGGCTACGGCAAACACAATTACCGAAATGCAAGCCTCCTTGGAATTCTCAACCAAGCGCATTGATACCCCACAGGAACGTGCAAATTGTTCAGAAGAAAAACTTAAGATTCAATGTCGTGAAATTACCGAAATGCAAGTGATATTAGACAGGCTTTCCTTCAAAACCCAAAAACAAGAGCAGTGTTAAATGTAGAAGTGGTGGGAGTACCAGAAATTAAAAATGAAAATCTAACAAATATAGTATTAAGCATAGCAGAAAAAGCAGGTGTTGTGTTGAGCGCCGGCGATATAGAAAGCTGCACAAGAGTACAATCGAAAGATCCCGTTAAAGGTCGACCCCGCAATATTATTATAAAAATGTCCTCCCGTATTCATAAGGATAATCTCATTGCTGGCGTCAAAAAACATCATGGCATCACTACTGAAGATCTTGGGCACGGAGGTGAACTCAAGAAAATATTTGTTAACATGCATTTAACTCTTGATAACAAGAGGTTGTATAAAAAGTGTCGAGAAATAGCTACCGAGCTAGGCTTCGTCGAAACGATACGTCACCACACATTATTGTCAATTCAGAATTGGACTTAAAAAAGTTGAAATAAAGTATTTATATGCATTAGTGAGTTAACTATGTTTAAAATCTATTATTTATTTTATTTATTATATGTTAAAATAACAAGGCAAAATGATAATTTACACAATAGGTAAGACACCAATATCTGTCTATTATCAAAATGCACGGGGATTACGTACAAAACTTCATACGCTTTATCTAGAAATATTAAATAATGATTACGACATCATTATTTTAACAGAAACCTGGTTTCACGATGGTATCTTGGATGGGGAGATCTGTGATAATCGGTATATTGTGTACAGACAGGATCGTATACTAACGGAAACAAGCAAATCATCAGGTGGAGGTGTGGCAATCATAATTCGTCGTACACTTAATGCGACTATGGACGATTTGTGGAAACAGCCGTGCGCTTCTATCGAAACGCTTTGAATAACAATACCAGTACTGAGTCATACGTTCACAACACGAAGCGCACACGTTCCCTCGCGCCATGCCCCTCACACCACGCTTGGACAAAAACTGCATATCATAACTACTTATATACCGGGTAAATCGTCAAAGCATCGTCGTACGGACGAAATGCACGCAAAAGATATTAAATCGTTCTTGGAATCGTTTAGTAGTAGAATTATCTCGCGCGACTTTTATGTAATTGCAGGTGATTTTAATTTATCTAATATACACTGGAATGAGAGTGGACCTACAATACTAAGACAGGGTCCTACCGAGCTACTAACTATAGCGGAGCAATTAATAAACGAACTAGCCTACCATGGTTTCCGACAATACTCCAATATAAAAAACAGTTGCAGTAACACATTAGATTTAATTTTCTCTAATATAGACATAGAAATAATATAATGTGACAAACCCTTAACTAAGATAGATATATTTCATCCTCCCTTCGAATTTGTCTTAAATGTGGCTATCCTTCCTCTCAAATGCTCTTTTTATTAAGAAAAATAAGTTTTATTCAGCTGATTTTGTTAAAATAAACACATATTTATGTGAAATCGACTGGGCCACTCATTTATACACTGGACATGTTGAAGAAGCTGTAGATTTATTTTACAAACAACTCAATTATTGCATAGACAAATATGTACCAAGTGTAATATCTCTACCTCACAACACGAAAAGGCCCCCCGTGGTATAAAACATTGATTAATATCTTAAAAGAAAAAGCTAAGGCTCACAGAAATTGGAAAAAATTTCATAACTTAGCGGAATACAATATGTTCTTTTTATTACGTAAGCGTGCGTCCGTTTATAATAAACAATGTTATAGTAATTATTTGGATACTACTAAACAAGCCATACTGAATAACCCTAAATGTTTCTGAAATTTTATCAAATCAAAACGTGGTAATACTTATTCTTATCCAAATAAAATGTCGTATAAAAATACAATGCATAGCGAAGGTACAGCAATTGTAGAAGTCTTCAGTTCATTTTTCAAAAGTGTTTTTATCCCGCCTGCTCCTTCATATCCTGATGTAGCATTACCTATATCTTCTAGTAGAAACGACCGACATTTACATTGCTTTCGGGTTTCCAAGGCAGATGTTTTTAAAGCGCTACAGAAAGTAGATGTAAAAAAGGGACCGGGTAGTGACAAAATCCCACCTATATTTATATTCAAATGTGCTAAGTCATTGTCTGAGCCTCTTCATATTTTATTCAATAGATCTCTTCAGGAAGGTTATTTCCCATACATCTGGAAAAAAGCTCATGTAGTACCCATATTTAAAAAAAGGAATCCGTACTAAAGTTGAAAATTATAGAACTATATCTATACTTAATATATTTGCGAAAATATTCGAAAAATTATTATTTAATTACATTTACCCGACCTTAAGTCGAGGTTTACCAGAATCTCAGCATGGTTTCCTCAAAGGCAGATCAACTCTTAGTAACCTAACACATTTTATCACAGAGACTATCAATCATATGGATGGCGGGGGGCAGGTTGACGTGATCTACACGGATTTCGAAAAAGCCTTCGACCGCGTGGATCACGCCATCTTGCTTCGTAAGTTAAAAATACTAGGAATACACGGGGACCTTTTGCGATGGATTGAGTCTTACCTAAAAAATCGTTCCCAAGCAGTAGTTGTAGGATGACACAGATCAAATTTTTTAAAAATTACATCTGGTGTGCCACAAGGGACTTACTTAGGGCCCCTCCTGTATAACACCTATCTATATGATATATATACATGCTTTAAACACTCCTCATTCTTGCTGTATGCAGATGACAAAAAAAATATTTATTAAAATTAACAATTTAAATGATTGCCATAAGCTTCAAGAAGATTTAAACAGGTTGGACCATTATTACAAATATAATCGAATCACAGTTAATGTCAAGAAATGTCAAACTTGCACATTTACACGCAAAACTAAACCGGTTGAATATGCATACAAATTGAACGGATCAATAATTCAAAAAACAGAGATAATCCGAGATCTTGGTATCTTATTGGATTCCAAGCTTACATTTAGTAATTATATTGACTACATCACAAATAAAGCATATAGAAACTTAGGCTTCTTAATACGTACATGCCAACCTTTCAATAACTTACCCTGTATTAAAGTATTATATTATGCCTACGTTCGCAGTATATTAGAGTATGGTAGCAACATATGGTGTCCACAATACTATACGTATATTAACAAAATAGAAGTATTTCAAAAAAAATTTTGAAGTTTATGGACTACAAAATTAAAGAACAACATCAAACATACAAAGAAAGATGTATATTCTATAAATTCCTTTCATTAGCAGACAGAAGAAAATTGCTTGATCAAATGACATTATATGATCTCATTCACGGGTGCCTAGATAATTCACATTTACTTGGACTTGTCAATTTCTCCACACCCATATATCGTACTATACACACTAAATTATTTTTCATCTCTCACTCTCATACGAAATATACCAAAAACTCACCAATAAACCGGATGTGTTGCACCTATGATAATTTTTTTGACAATATTGATATTTTTACGAAAAAGAGAGAAAACTATAAAACTGAAATATGCAAAAAATCTCTTCAATAGTTATTCATGATTAAGGTATTAACTCAGATCAAATATATGAGCACAGACACCCACACATACACACACACACACACACACACACACACACACACACACACACACACACACACACACACACACACACACACACACATTATGTTGTTGTATATACAATGTTTATAGTAGTACCGCTGATTATTCTTTGTACCGATAAGGAATTGTCGCTCATTCTTTTAAATTATGTTTAGATAATACAGGGAAACCTGTAATAAGGCTTATGTTAAGATAATCCGATCTGTTGTAAATTTTAATAGTTTAAAGCTGGTGGTTTTCTAAATAAATAAAATAAAAAAATTCTGACCTTCTGTGTTCGTCCATCGTACCGTCGTCCGCCTTGTAGAATCACGGTGGCGCCACCTAGCTGATTTAATTTTGCTACATATTCGATTTTCCCACGGGAATTATATGTTTTTCCGCTGAAAAAAGCCTATGTCACTCTACAGCCATCGAACTATTCCCATACAAAAAATCATGCCATGCCGACGCTCTGTTGCTACGTGAAAAAAGGACAAATTTGTGCAACATATTCGATTTTCCCACAGAAATGAGATGTTTTTCCGCGGAAAAAAGTAGCCTATGTTACTCTACAGCCACCGAGTTATATCCATACCAATATTCATGCCAATTTTTTCAGAGTGTTTTATTACAAAAACTTCCATTCTTTACATCGGCATGCAATTTGAAAACACGAAATTGCCCTTTAATTTTTTTTTCAGGTTTTCAGAACCCTTTGATCATCTTGGGTCGCCGCGGGGTACATGCTATCAATTATTAGAGCTTCAATGTGCTTGAACTTCCGTATATTACAAGGGCATGCAGTATACTATCACGGAAAAACACAAAAATTCGCTACACAAGGAAAAGCAATTTTCCTTATGAAGACGACGCGCGGGAAGGCTAAAGCCCCGACAATCTTTGATATTTTAGGGTTAGTTATCAAGCCTTAAAAAGGCATGCACGACAAAATCGTGGAATGTCACCTGTCACCAGCTCCCCGTCTAGAAGTTAGAGGCAAATAATTCCTTATTTTCTCTAACTTCACAACTTCATCACTCTATGGCAGCTGACCGCTAAGTGAGCGGCGAGCCGTTGCTGCCGTAGAGTCTACATCACCTGAAGATGCCTCGTGTAGAGACAAAACACATGTCGTATTGTCGTCGATGGTGTTTCTTTCCTGGAATAGTGGTGTTGGGAGTAGTGGTATTGGGAGTAGTGGTAATGGGATTAGTGGTGACAGAATTAGTGCACGTAATTTAGGGAGAGTGAGAGGTGCTCTTCAATCCAGGTAAGACACATCATTGTATTTTAAACGGATAGTTGCGAATTAATTAGTGTCTTTATTGTAATGGATTTCCGCAAAGGAACGCCTGATTCTATTAATTTGAATATTATGGTCTTTCATGTATAAGGCAAACATAAAAATCAAATAGAACCCGCGTATAAGAACATATAGATGGCGTAAAGCACCAACGTTTCGGGAAGTCTGAAGTTTGTGATCATATTTTCCTAGACGGCCCCTGCCATTACATCAGATTTTATAGACCACAAACCCCCGCGAAAGAACATCGATTCCTACCAAGAATGATACGTGAAGCTATTGAAATTAAAAAATCATCCCAATTTTTATAGAAAAGGAGGTTGAGGTTCTACCTGATTGGGTTCCTGTAATTAACAAAATTAAAACTAAATCCAAACATACCACTGCAAGACTTCAAGACACAGAAAGTTCGTTCTACGGGGATCGGACCAAAAAAAATAATTGAAAACTGAAGATACTCCGGATTAACACTGACATCGGGACATCTGTCACTTCAGTCCCCCGTGACGATGGGTGCTGGAATGTACCCCAAAATTCTTATTTTTCTTGTTCATTTGACTTTAAAGTGAGGATAGATTTAGA